AGCACACACATAAAGTCCATCTCACACCCTGAATCTCCGGATCAGTCTTGGCTCTACACCTGGCTCTGTAACAACTTTGATTCTCCTTTGCCCTCAAGTGTTGCATCTCATCTGTCACACTATGGACATTGTCCTTCTTCAAATCAGCTGTGATTTCGGAAACCAAATAAAATAATGAGATATAAGAGAATTAAACTGTGCTTCCTTGGTCTTTGAACTTCAGCAGTCTCTTCCTTTGGCTTCTCAGGGTGCCCTGTTTTCATCATAGGAACTACCCATTCAGCCCTCTTTATGGTGATAGAAACCAGGTTCCGACCTAGTAACTCCTTCTCCTTGTAATCAGTATTCCCACGGTCCGATGCAGCCAAATAAGTGATAGCCTTATTAATGTCTCCAAAGATTAATTATATTCTGAATTCTCCTTTTAGAAAAAAATTAATTCACTATGATTGAAGTCAAACCCATTTAATACTTAGATGGGTAGTCCTTCAATGGTTATGAAAATCTTGATCATTCTCAATGTTTTATTGTGTTTTCTAAAACAGGAATTATACTGTATTGTACCAAGAGAATGATGCAGAGTATAATAATTTAAGGAGTTAATGAATATGTTATTTTTGAAGAACATAAGCAACCTTCGTAGTAACTCACACCACCTTTCATATTTTAAAAAACTTGGAATAAGTAAAGCCATTTTTATAAATTCATCTTTTAAATCAATAGGACCAAATACATAAGCAGATATAGTAGAAATGGTTAAATGAGGATAGTAGAGACTCCTAACTGTTGCCATGAAACGTTTATTTTGGAGAGACTTCTTGACATTTTTGCTCCATATCAGCATAAGAGTTTGTAGGAGAGGAGGAAAGCATTATTTGTTGAGGAGTGGTGACCTTATATAGCATTTGTGGTGGTGAATACATTATAGAAAGTACCATAAACATAGTAATTAAAGTCTCACACTAAACACTTTGTGGACTGGCAAATACATTCCCTTCCTCCCCTTGACAGCATGCATCCAAGGGAATAGCATATTGTTTATCTAGGTTTCTTAGTGTTCTTTTTTTTTTTACCGGGGATTGAACTCTGGCCCTTGTGCTTGCAAGGCAGGCAGCAGAACCACCTAGCCAAATCCCTGGCCCTTCTTAGCGTTCTTAATTGTAGAAAAAAGAATGGTAATCTCTAAGATTTGTTTCCTTCTCTAGGTATTGCTGATCAGGTGGGCAGAATCACATTTGATCTTTTCAGGATCAAGTTATTTATTGTTCAAAAAAATGTCACATAATACATGAAAATACTTAAAAAATGCAGTTCTTTCTTAGTTTTGGAAACTTTATTATTAGAGTTGTTTCCAGACAAATACTATAATAATGCGTGACTATGTAATATTTTAAATGTGTTTGGTATGATCATCGGTGCCTCAGAGCTTATGTGTTGAAAGAAATGAACCGGTGGGTAATAGAAAAATATATAATAAGGCAAAAACAGGCTTATAACTGAGGTGAACTTTTGAAGAAGCAAGGCTTTCACGATCCCATTACGCTTTATCTCGATGTCCAGTGGCTTAAACCTAAGCGTGCTGCTGTGTGTGAGCATCTGGGAGGAGAGGCACCATGCGGCTTGAGTAATGAAGTCGTGTCCTCCACGGGAGAACAAAGAAGGCAGACAGATGTAAAGTCTGCAGTCTCACTTCCGTGTGTGCTCATAGTGTTCCTGTGTACCTGTTTTCCCGATTAAGGGGCATCCTGTTTTTCATAATTTCTGAAACCTTTTACTGAATGCAATATTGATTTATAAAGATTTTCTTCTGTGAAAAATACATGCAGTTGAATCCAGTTTTGAGCTTTGCTTTGAGTTAATTAGGGCAAGAAAGGAAGATATAGGGAGGGTACTTCTGTTCTCACTGTTTAATTGGCTTCCTTATGTCTTAGTTGTGAAAATTTTTCACTTATGTACTGATTTTTTGGTTCATTACACATTTATTGACTGCTTATCGTATCTTAGCCCCTGGGATACAAAGATGAATGACTCAGTTGGGAGACATCTGATGCTTTTGGAACCTTCTCAATCCTGGCTGACTGTGTAGTAAAGTATATAATATGGTTCTGAAAGGATATTAAGTTCCAGAGAGGAGCTGGATCTCGTTCACTACAGAAGAGATAAACAATTAGGCGAACCCAGGGTTTTGGGGTTCCGATCAGAAAGCCTATCTGGACAATATCAAAGTGTTTTTCAAGGTGTTTTCCACTGCATTAGGTTTCTAAGGAACTGTTTTTGCCATTACTGGGATACATGCCTTGACTAAGGTCACTTTGCCCCATTTCTTGATTTGCTATGACCTAGGTAGAAAGTGTGCAGTAGTCTGAGGTAGGAAGGTGGTAGAGCTGCAGTCTTGAGGTACTGTGCTAGGAAATCTCAGGGCAGGTGCCGCTGCCAACTCCACTGTCCCCTGTGTGTGAGCATCTGCTTCTCCTTTTTTGTTTGTTAGCATAATCACACTAGGAGGATCTTTGAATAGGAGCATTTCAGGAAGCCTCGTACAATGGTGGACAGTGATTTTGCCTGATGATACTATATGCGAACCACTGGAAAGGTTGGCACTCAAAACCTCAGTCACATTAGAGGGAGGCTTCTTCTATAAATTTTCTGTTTATCTACTACTTTTAACACTTTTTTCCAGCTTTACTGTGGGCATGTTTACCCCAGAAAGGCCTTTTTCCACTTTGATGTGTACTGGCACGTATTTGTTTTCCCTAAAACAGACTCAGACTGCTTTGATTTTGTGGGGTTAGCATGCCAGAGACCAAGAATTTCAAGATCTATATCCTCAAACTATCTACATATAACCTCATTTTCAGCAAAGAGCCTTGCTGTCTCTCTCCAAGAGTGTTGACGTCACTGGGTCTCTCACCTCCAACATTCCAAAGCTGTTGATTGCAAATGTACCATAACCAAATTTATCTTTACCAAGCTCCTTTTAATATCACAGAGTTGTGGATTCTCCTTCTTCTTCAAGGCCAGCCTCTTGATCTGTCCTACTGATCTTTTCCTCTGCCTCTTTGAGATCTGATTTATTGTTACCTCCTCCCTCCAGTGCTCTCAGCCTTTCTCTCTCGGCTGATCCCTTCACCCTTCACGATGTCCTTCTGTTCACACTTGAGCTACCCCAAAGCCCTCCACTCTCCTTCTTTGGCTCTTCGCTTGCTCTATCAACTCCATTGTCTCTGCCTCCTCCACGTCTCTAAAACAGCCCCCGATCAAGGTGGCCAGTGATTTCTTAAATGTCACACCTAAAGGTGTTTTTATCATAAGTGTCACGGAACTTCTCTGACATTCTTTCTTGGCTTTTTCAAAAGATCTGTTTCCTCTGTCAGTTCTGTCATTGTTTGTGTCCTCTAGGACTTTTCTCTTAGTCCTAATCCTGTAACCTTCTAACTGCCCATGTTCCTTCCAGGATGTCCCCAGCTCACGTGGTCTCTGATGCTCTCTGTAATAATCACATCTTGCCTTTATGTTTTGCTCAAACTTTCCCAAGCTTTATTCACACTCAGAAATACCTGGCAATTCCCATCTGAATCTGTACTTTTTGATTTCTGATGCCTCAGACTACACTTCTTCCCTCCTTATTTCTTCTCCTTTCTTCTCTGCCGCAGTGGTCAGTAAATCCACACACATACAGTTGACCAGTTTGTTCTGCTTTTAGCTTATGGAGGTTTTGAAATATCAGTTCTTTTCTCCCTTTCATCACCTGCTTGTGCTGCTGTCATTGCCATCTTGCCTTCCTCTCGGAATGGTTGTAACAACCAGATGACTGCCCTACTTCCTCTCCCCACTGTACTCTCCTCTCTTCAGATCCATCTGGAAAAAGTAAGACTGCTTAAACCCACATCTGACCCATCTGTCTCTGTCTGCAGCCAGGACAAAGGCTGAGTTCTCTGATAGATGTGCAGAGCTGAGATTTGGCCCTGGGCCTCTCCCCTGGCTTTCCCCTGGAAAGAGGCCAGGAATACCCAACTACACCACAGTATCTTACCTCTGTCCTTTCCATTGTTAGGCCTCCCACTGCAGCTCCACTAACTCTCCAGTCCAGCCTTAACATGTGTGAGGCATCCCCCTTTTTTTTTTTCCTGGAAACATTCCCTGAGCTTTGCATTTCAGGGCTAGATATTCCTGCTTGACAGGTACCTCAAGTTATTATTTTCCTTGTGCTTCCCTGTGGGGTCAGTGTGTGTATGTCCCTCTACACTTTACTTTCCTTCCAGATATAGATGCAGCCTTATTTATCTTTATAGCTCAGGTGCTCAGCACAATGCTTGTCATATATTTTCAGCATTGTTTATAAATGAAACATGAATAACGACAGTAAATCAATTTGATGTTCACAAAAATTGCATAGGATTAGAAGGAAGCATGAAAGGACTTCTGCCTTACAGATAATTTCCTCTTTGCACTAGTGTTCAGCTTAGGAAAATTGAGTCTTCCAATTGTACGTGTGTGAATGCCCTTTTCATATTTATGCTATACTTCAATGAAAAAGTTTTTAGAAGCAATTTGACATGTTGCCTCTCCAATACAGAAGTTTTCCTTCTGTCCTTTCAAGCTTTTAGACTGTTACGGGACATTAGCTCAGGTGTCATAACAGAGAGCCAGACTAGTGTTTTCCCTTGACATTAAGGAAGAATGAAATGAAAAAGCACCAGTGGAATGTGAGAGACAGACTGGCCAGACTTCTAGAGCAGGCCGGCGAGGGCCAGCCCTCACTGAGGGACATGCAGTGAGTGACCTGCACCTCTGTCACACTGACTTCAGGGGCCACATGCTAATCACCGGCAAGCTCCTCTCCAGCCTGCTGTGACAGGGGAACGTTATCTCCTCTGTGACTATGAATAATTCATAAACATGGTTATCTAGAAATGTGTGGTCATCATTAGCATTTTAGTGAAAAAAATGCAATTATTATTCTAAGTCTCTGTTCTGTTTTTGGACTCCTCCCACTACAGCTAACCATCTCACCATTTCCTGAGTACTTGGGAGCTGCCGAGGTCCCTGCTAATGTGCTGACTGTCACTATGGGCAGATGGTACCCGGAGGCTTCCTGTCATCCAGGCAGCTCATGTATGTACGGGATCCTATACTGTCTTGTGTGTGTGTCCCCCTCCCACCTCTCACCTCCCATCTCCTCCCTCCCCCTCCCATTGTAGGGTACTGATCTGGTGAAGAGTTGTAAGATATGACTGAAAGTATTTAGAAATGCAGAAGAATGGATGGCCCCAGGGCAGTGGTGGTGAACCTATGGCACGGGTGTTATTTGTTTTTCTTTTAAGATGTTAATGTATGAGTTGTTTTTTTCTAAAACCTTAGTATTCAGGTTTAATTACTGTGTTGGCACTTTGCAATACATAAGTGGGTTTTGGGTCAATTTGGGCACTCATCTCCAAAAGGGTCGCCATCATGGCTTTAGGGTAAGTTATGCATTTATTTATTTATTTAGTACCGGGATCGAACGCAGGTCCTTGCACATGTGAGGTAGGTGGTGGAACCACTGAGCTAAATCCCTGGTCTTGGATAAGCTTTTAATATTGGATGATGAGAAATACTTTCTAAATTAGGGTCATTTTAATCAGGGTTCTATAGGATTAGAAGATCAGGCATTCTCTTTTTCTGTTTCAAGGCATTCATTCATTCATAAATAAGCTTTCTTAAAAAAAAAAACCCAAACCTTTTCCTTTTTCATGAAAATGTATGTAACAATAGTAGCATCATAAATTTTAAAAATTTCCCAGTGATTGCTTTAACTTTTTTGAAATAGAAAGATTCATGGACCCAGAAGAGATGTCCTGTGGGCAGTCTCTGATTCATGTGCATAACCGGGAAAGACTCTGGCTCAGTCCCTAACGTTCCTCATAGGAGGAAGCTCTCACAGGCTCCTTGCTAATGTCTTTCTGTGCCTCACAACACTTAAGTTTTTCCAGCAGTCTTTTGGGGAACTGCTACAGTTACTTTCCTTTCCTATTTATCTCTACTCTGATTAACTTAGGAGAAAATGTGAGCACTTTTTTGAAGTAAAGTCTCACTGTGTAGTTCGGGCTGACCTGGAACTCACAGTGATCCTCCTGCCTCAGCCTTGCAAGTGGTGGGATCACAGGTGTGAGCCACCACACCTGGCATATGACCACTTTTTATTTAATGATCGGCTGTTATTTATAGAGAGGGCAGTTTGTTTCAGACTTACTCTTTGCTGCCTGTTGCAGCTCTGGGCCGGTTGTATAGATAGTCATTTACTTTGTCACTTCCTTTCAGGCCCTCTGAAATTCTGGCTTCAAATCAAGATGTGTTTGGGGTCATTGTCCGCAGTGCTCTTACTCCCATGCCCTTCTGTGGTTATATTTATTCATGTTTACCTTTCAGTCCCAATTCCTTGTTCAGCTCAGATTTTTTTTCTTCCTAGAAAAGTTAGATCCACATTCAAGCTCTTTATCCAGACAGTTGTTTATAAAATAAAATAGTTTAAAGTAGTGGCAGTGGGAAGAAAGTGGCAACAGGATGGGAAATCCGATTATCAGCATCGAGGCTGGTAATGTGCAGTTGTCCACATGTACTCTTATATCCTGAAGGTTGTCACTACTGCTTTAAGTTAAATTTAGCAATTTTTCATAGTGAATATCCTCAGAATACTGTTAACACTTACTTCCTGTAGAATAGAAGTTGACACACTAGCCAATGCCTGTTTTTGTAGTAGTGTAGACTTTATAATGGCAGCATTTTAAATGGTTATATAAATACCTTCATACTCTATGTTATCTCTTTTACCCCTCAGAGTCTAAAATATCTGTGATTGCTTTAAGAATAAAGTTGTGCACCCTGCTATAGAGGAGAGCTGGGAAGTGTGCATTGCCACCGGACAGAGTAATGTGTATTTGAGCTATAAAGATGCTAATTTCACATCATTCAGTGTAAGATATTTTATTTGAAGGACCTTCTTCTTTCAAATGGTTAAAATTCTAACATGTGCGTTCTTAGAGTGGATGGAATGAGTTTATCTGGAGAATTCACATCTGTGGACATGATTGATTTGCACCCACCAGCCGGTCCCTTTCCAGACCTCAAGGCTCCGAGCCGCACAGGCCTGTGCTGTCCAGGGCCTGCAAGGAAACTCTTTTTGGTTACCAACTTCTTTCTTATCAAGTGTTTCCTAGGAGAAGACTATCTTCTTACCCTTACTGGGATCAGGAGCCTTGAGATTGCTGCCCCAGGCCTTACCTGAGTGAATCACTGGTGCCATTTTGGGTAGGAAGGAGGAGAACTTGGCTGCCTTTCCAGGGGACACAAGTTTGTATAATATCTTGCTTTAGGCATCCTTCCCTGGAACTAGAAGGTAGTGCCTCTCTCTTCTGGTTTCCAGCTCTCGATGTCTTTTAGTACTATTGATCCTTAGTCCACCATCATTTATTTTATATGGCTTGTTTCCCTCCCTCCTCTTCCCCTCATTTCTCCCAGTTATTCATAAGAGTTGAATTGTATTCCTTATAACCTGCAGCTGATGTTCTGTGGGGGCCGCTCTTTGCTATAGGAGACGTTCATTGCAGCAGCTCTGTCTGCTGTCAGGTAAGATAAGAAAGCTAAGGTGACTCGAAAGCCTCTGTGCCAGGCCTGTTTCTCAACAGGATCCCACTGTTCCCTGGAGAAGGGAAACTATTTCAAGAAAAAAAAAAAAAAAAGCTGTAGAGTTTATATTTTATCATCAAGTGTGGTCAGAACCATTAGTGAAATGTTGGCAGTACATACTGCTGTGCCCTGGATTGTTTTTGAGGCTCTTGTGTGAGATTGGAATTTTACTTTTCTTTCTGTTTTAGAATCATTGTTCTGCCTTCTAGCTCTATCTTCTTACAGGACAGGATGCTGTTCTTTGATAGAATGTGGAAAAGTATCCATAAGAAGTAAAAAGCTGAGGTGACCTTTCCATATGGATATTTGTGCTTGTTCTAAGGTTAGAGTTTTGAAAGTATTCTGGGGCTGTTAAGAAAGTTGTACTCTATTTTTTTGTTTGTTTGTTTATTTTTGTACTGGGGAACGAATTCGGGCCCTTGTGCTTACAAGGCAGTGGTGGTACCACTAAGTCAAATCCCCAGCCCTATCCTAGGTTATTATTGCCTGTATCTATGCATTTCATTGCAAGACTGCAGCCACCAATCTAACTTTGGCTGTCAGGAAATGGTGTGTTACAGTGGTTGGCAGACCTTTACAAGTGGTCCAGAATAGTGGTGAAATCAAGTCAACTGCGGAACATCTCTGATCATGCCACCCACTTCCTGAAAATGTCTAAGGTATTCCCACTAGTCCACAAGGTCACCTGCACTTGAGTTTTCCATGTTGCCTTTCATACTTAGTAGTAATACCCATGCTTATGATTAATTATTTGTTATTGGTCATTTATTTCATCACTGTTAAATTGACATCTTGTGGTACACTCTTTGCCTCTGGGTTACAGTGCCGTCATTGCTCATGCTGTTCTGTCTCCGAAGTACAGATTCATCCCTTGCTAACCTGCTAAAAACCTGCTGTGACTGTAGGGTGCATAGCAGAGATGTTTTCTTTCCTAGGGAGCGTCCCTGGTTTCCCAGCTGGAAGCAGGGGCTCGTGAAGCTTGATTTAAGACATTTGGTTCTCCCCAAATGTATGTGTCCAGAATTACTCCTTCTGTCCCAAATTACTCCTTACATTTTGACATGTGCATGTGTGTGTGTGTGTGTGTGTGTGTGTGTGTGTGTGTGTGTGTACTTTGAACTTTAACTTTAAAATCTTTGTCATTTCCCACCTCTCCTCTGTGAGCAGGACAGTATTTCATCTGTGGTAGAATCTCAGGTTTTTGTGTCACCATGGACCTTGGGGTGGGACCAGATCATAACCATCCTCAAAAGGTGTCTCACTCGCAGAACCTGTCCAGGCCAGTGCTAAGGAGGGGACCCACGGCTCCAGCCCCTGTCCTGCTAGCCTCCCTGTTCTCTTCCTGCCTCTCCTTTCCTCACAAACAGTATTTGCTTTCCTTCTACACTTCAGAAATTGCCATTTAGAAAGTTTAAACAGTAGCAGGCATAGGGGTACTTCTTTGGCCTTTTCTTCAACTAAGTAAGCTTTGAAAAGTTCCTCTTACTGTCTCCATCTTACAGATGAGGAACACTAAGACTTCAAAGAATAAAGCGAGAGCTGCACTTTGAGCCGGGGTTTTCTGCCTCTTCCCCATCTTCGATTCTTTTCTCTCACCAGTCTGTCTCTTGTCCTGGCAGTCACTTATTTAGGGGGCAGACCCCCTAACCTGCTTTTGCTGACTTGGCTTTTGGTAGTGATGGTCCTAAAGTTCTGTAAGATTCAGGGGGAAAAAAAATCATGATGTCTTTCTTATGTTTCTTCTCTTATCCAACTAATCATAGTAACCACAGGCAACCTGAAGATCCCACGACAGTGCTGATGAGCCTTTCAGAGACTGAACGCCCAAACTGCAATCCCAGACCCACTTCTTTATTGTAAAGCCTCAACACTGCAATTAAACCTCAGTGCTCAGCTGCTGGGGTGAAGCAGGGGCAACATGACTCATGTGCAACAGAGAGGGCTCTGCACACCAGCTGTAGTGTGTGTCATAGGTTTGCCAGCACTGGATGCCCAAACACTGAGACCTCTAGTTGTCTGTAGTTACCAGCTGCACTTCATGCACTCTTCCTCCATTCACTTTATTGTTAGAATGTTTTGGTACTGGGGATCGAACTCGGGTCCTTGCACTTGCCAGGCAGGCGGGAGAACCGCTGAGCTAAATCCCCGGCCTGCCTCCATTCAGTTTGATGGAAAGTGGAGGGCCAACTAAAATGCAGATCTGCCACCTTCCTTTCAAACAGCAGAATGAGTCTGTGTTATCAGACTTCTAACCTAGAGTTCATGTTAGTCAGAACTCTGCTTTCCCTGCTTTTCAACAAGCTGAATAAGGCCTGATAGATATAAACTCTGAAAAGTAGTGTTGCAGTAGACAGGCATTCCGGAGAGCATAGCCAGACCCCCTTTCCTGAAGCTAGTCTATACCCAAGCAGAGCTCTAGCTGGCTGCGGCTTTCGCCTGCACATTATGCG